ACCTGCCTTTGATGAACCCATGCTGATTGCCCCTGAGCATGATCTCCCCTGCTGGCCCCCCACAGATGTGCTCCTTGATGATTCGCTCCAAGATCTTCCTGAGCACCAAGGTGAGGCTGACAGGCCTATAGTTACTTGGGTCCTCCTTCCTCCCTTTCTTGAAAATTGGGATCACATTAGCTAGTTTCCAATCCTCCAGCACCTGGCCAGATGACCACGAATGCTTATACAGCCGGGCAAAGGGCTCCACGATGACCCCTGCCAGCTTGTTTTATTATATTCAAAATGCATAATTCTGTGCAGCCATAGAAACATCGTTCAGTATCTGCTTTTGATGTACTGGAAGGCATGCAGCTATACTGCATCCAGGTTCCTTTGAAAGGTCCTGGGTTGATCTACACTTGAAAATTTAGCTGAAAGCCTTTAGCTTCCTTATAAAGGGAGAAATACAGAACAAAACATTGTTGCCAGTTTCTAGAGCTGTCCTACTTGTTAGAGTTAAGAGAGATTTGACTAAATACATAATTCAAAATCTGGCATTAAGTGAAGGCTGGTAGACCAAATGAAAATTTCATAGAGATTCACACACAGAACCCAAGGAAGCAGTTAATTCACCATTCTCCTTTGTTATTTTAGTACATTAATTGCTGTAAAGGATAAATGTTAGGCCATCAATCTACCTTTGGAATAAAATCTGTAGAAGCTTTTAAAAAGGCTGAGAACCAGTACTCTAGGGTTAAACTTGAGGCACCCTGTGTTTGACTCAAGGCACCCCTCATTTGACCTCTCCATAATTTTTGTGAATTGAGTAGCACTCCATTTAAAAAACTCATTTATGTATTACAGTGCTTACATTGTTTCAGAAGGACTGGGCAGTTGGGGCAGGGCCAAGGGCAGGCAAGGGCAAACCTCAGCCTGCGTTTATCTCCTCATACCTGCTTATCTCCTCACACTTTGTGACACCGTTCAAAAAATCTCACTCCACTCCACAGTACCCTGACATTCTGGTGGCAAATTACTGACCTAAAGAGAAAAGAATTAGAGCTTTGATGTTTTTTTTTTTAAATTGATGAAATCAATTTTTCCCCATTTTTGTCAACATGTAAACATTTTAAAGGTTTAAGTTTTCAGTGAAAAACTAAAAGCCAAAACCTTTTCTTCTCTTGACAACAACAATGCCAACAACCTATTTCTGAAGCTAACCACATTCTTTTGGAAAAATGAAAAAACACACACATACATTTGAGAAGAACATTATTTCATCAAATTAAAATCCAGAACATATCAATGAAAATTTCTGTCTAGCTTACACGGGATTCTTATTCCATGCTCTCCCAAACTTGCAAATTTATTTTTGATTTATTGTCACATTTGCCTACCAGACAGGCTTTCCCACTATATAATAGCAGCTTTTCCTCTGTTTCATTATCATTCCATTTTATTTTCACTGGCGATCAAGTAAAGGCCTTGAATTATGATTTACATTTTCAGAATACTGCACAATTCTTTCCCCAGTTGTAAGTTTATGACTGGTGGCTTATAGACTACGTACAATAGTTGCTAAGCCAACTTCCATAGAACAGATGTTTGCTTTATATTACAGCTATTTTGCTACATCTCATTAAAATCTTATCTCTGTGTTTTAGACCTACTATTATGGTTTTTACGATGACCTTTACATTGGCTTATATGTGAGTCTTGATAAAAAGTTTCGGTAAGTAAACAAGGACCATAAAGCTTGTCAAGCAGTACAAGTATTGCATCAGGCTATCTTGAATGACCTGTTAAAGTTTTCATTTCACAGGCTCATGAACTTGGTTGGGGATTAATTTTTCATAATGGTATCAAAAGAACATTTCAATAAAGTAAAATACATAGCTAAAACATATTTTAAAGTTTTTTGGGCTTTTTTTAGAGCGAGAGAGAGAAGTTAGTGAATGAACAAATGTATTTCAAATTTTACCAGCTTAGATAGAGGGGCAAAGCTGCTACTGCTAAGAAACCTATTTTAGCTAAGCCAAATCTTGGGTCTGTATTCCTGGCCAGACCCTTGCTCAGTACAAGGTTCTAAGCCCGTGGTACTCAGCAGTGAGTTTTCTGTCACCACATGCTTTTTAAATTGTTTTTTGCCTCCTTAATTGGCAAAAGAATTCTTTTCCCCTACTTCCAGGTTTTCATTCTCAAGATGATGCCTGGGTCCTGTACCTCGGGCACAGTCAACAACTTGGGACATTTCCCCTTCTCCAGCTGTTTTGCAAGATGTCTTTTCTTCAGGCTGACACCTTTTCCTGTATTTGTTCCATTTTCACTTCATTTATCTCTCTGAGCTCCAGAGGCATTAATCAGTGCATTAGTTGATGTTTTGTAGGTAGAGTCAGTGCTGTGTTACTACTGGTTGTCATCTTTTGCATTCTTCCCTCTTTTGATTTTGCAAGAGAGAGAAAAATGGCTTGAAGGTTTGAGGTGTGTTTCACTTGACTATATCATATCCTAGGTAAACACATGTCAGATGTAACAAAAATGCAGTTAGGGGGCACCAGGACCCGCAACAGCCAAAACTCAGAACTTTTGTACTCCTGTTCTCATGGGAATTCAATTTCTTGAAGCAGTCTCAGAATCTAGGATAAATAAAATGCAGGCTGTATTGATTGATTCATTTCCCTACAGTATTCATCAAAATTATGAAGTGCTATGGCCACATATTGAATTCCTCTCAGAATTGTTGGTGAATTTTCCCATGTCTGTTCCCTAAGACGTCATTCCTATCCCAGGGTCCCTCTTTTTGTAGTTCTCTCCCTTTCCTGTGCTTCAGCTCTGGATTAAAAGACCATCACTGAAACCTTGTTTAATTATGAAGCACTGCCACTCTGACCTCTGCCATTCTTTCCCCTATTCAGGAAGGGTCTTTTGACCACAGCATTCAGCTAGTGGCACAAAAAGGCAGTCCTGCCTCTTGGAGCTATTGTTTCTTGTTTCTGCAATCTGGGCAAATTACAGGAAATTATGTTTATTAAAGTTTTTTTCCTCTCATTCTTTATTTTCACTTTCTTTCCTGATAGGTGATGTCACTTGTTTGTTTAATATTTCTCTTGCTTCACTGTGTACTCTTTCTTCATATACAGCTCTGTAACTTTCTGTAACTACACACAATCTCTGTTCAGCTATGTATGATTTCCTTGCATTTTGCTTGCATGTTTGCATTTTGCTTTTGGAAGCATCCACAAACTTTTGATTATGAGAATCTATTGATCTGACTTTGTGCTTGATAGTACCTGACAATAAACCATTTAGTAGATTACCATTTAATTGAGATTTTTTTATTGCCTGTTATTTGGGAAGAATTTTACAAGCAGCTAATTTGAAAATCATTACTGGATACATAAGGATAAACATGTAAAGAAGGATGCCGAAAATAACTTTTGCTGGAGGCTATCAGTTTACACTAGCTTGGGGCCAGTGGACCATGGAGGAAATTTCTGTCAAATCTATATGTAGAGATTCTGTCCATAGGCTGTTAATCTACAGATAAGTATGTTTCCAGAGAATAAGTAAAAGTAAATCATTATCTCATCTTGCAATTTGTTTCACAAAACTCTGAAGTAAAGTGTAGGTGGGGAAACAGACTATATCTATAACAAATGCATCTGATTTGCTTAGTCTTATATTGTTTTAACTTGCAGCTGTTAATTATTACATTTAATTTTAATTATATGAGCAAAGGGAAAATGTAGGTTAAAAAACAAGAAAATATTCTCAATTTGCTCTTCAGGATTTTGGCCACAAGTGCTAAAAAAGTCACACAAGGTTCTTTGGGTAGAAAGGTGTTTGTGCCTGAAAATTTGTGAAGAACAATTTCCCCAACTATTTAGCTGGTCTAATAAAAGATATCACATCCACCCAAAGAACCTTGTCTGCCTATGACCTTAGACCACTGTGGCTACAACCTACAACCCTAAAGCAAAAAAATCACACACACAGAGCAGTGTGCCCAAGTTGCTTTTGGTGTAGCTAGGATTTCTGTAATATAAAATAAAATGAACTAATGTAGCCTTCAAAAATAACTATTGATATACTCAATAACTGTGGAATGTAATTTCTTTTAGTTGGATGGATGGAACCCTAGTAAACTATGTTGCCTGGGCCCCAAATGAACCCAACTTTGCAAATAATGATGAAAACTGTGTGGTCATGTATTTCCGTACAGGTGAGTATAATATTACTATATCAATAGTTTAATTGTTCTGCATTGCATGGCTTAGGTATATATGTGCAATATGGGTGTTTCTTGTAAGATAAGTTTTACCAATAAGTAGACTGATTTTGAGTAGGATTTTCAAAAGCCCTTACCAGACTTGAGCATAAATCATACTGAAAATCATTAGGACTTGGGGTTCTAAATTACTCCTAAAAGTTCTCCCACCTCTTTTGCAAATAAGACATTGAACTAGGAATGAAATCTGAACTAAATTCTTACTTTCTGTATGACAGTGGACAAATTGCTTACAGCTCTGTTTCTTTCTATCCTTTTACGTGTTTTAAGCATTGAAAGTGATATCTTTGCACAACAGTTCATAGAAGGAGAGGAGAGGGCCTCATTTTTATTTGAGGTCTGTGCACACTACTTGTAATGCAAATGATGACAAATTATAAACACTAGAAAACACTGCAAGGTGGGGTGTTAATTATGTGTTATGTACTCAAGCCACTAAAATTTCTAAATGGCAGTGTGGATCTATAAGTGTGCATGTATAGACTGGGCATTAACTCAATGTGCAGTTTATCCAAGGTATGAGAATCTAGACAGTCAGAACCATGTGACTAGGGGCAGTTGGCCTCTAAGACAGGAGGCATGTCCTCCCATGTTTTAGCTACAATAAAGCATGAGTAGAGCAACTTGCCCAGGAAGCAAGAGATATGGGATCTCAATCTCCTTGTTTATAGGGGTTTTAATTTGCATCTCTGACTTTGCAGCATGGTCCTCTAACCAACACACCACAATGCTTGACCTACCACTGACTGCATGTAGACAGGCATTTCTATGGGAATTTAAGAGAAATTCTTATCATTAGAAAAACAGCCCGGGAGTTGAGGTGTACATATATTTGAGTTGACTGGATGGAGAGCTACACAGGTGAGCTCTTGAGCCAGGGGGCACTAGAGGGCTGGTCCCTGGGCCACCACTGCTCTTGGGGAAGCCTGTTATTGGACTGCCTGTCCTCTCCCCTGCCTGGGAAGGGGGCAGGCTGTCAATAGGCAGCCAATCAGGTTTTAAATTGCCTGGTGTGAAGCCCAGATGGGTGGCACATGTGGCATTTAAAGCCCATTGGGCTGTGAACCAGGGTGGGAAGAGTTTCTTCATGCCTGGTTCCTAGCCCTCAGGGCTTTGTAATCTGTGTGCCAGCATTTAAAGGGTGGGGACTGGGAACCTAGTGGTTAGGGTCCAGGGGCCAAGTTCACTTCATTTGAAAAGTAGCATGAGCCCAAGCAGCCTTGCAGTGGTGCCACAGTGGTCTCGTGTCCATCTGTCCTTTCCTTCCCCAAGGCCTCCCAGTGGAGCAGGACTGTGGAGTGTGGGAGATAATTCCCCCATATCTATAAGGCTTCTTAAGCTGAAGCAGCCTTGCAGTCAGAGGGGAATTGTTTCTTGCTCCCCCACATGCCTCCTGATGGAACTGGAGGGGTGTGGGGATGGGGCTTTTCTCTGGTGGTGAGAATCTTCCTGAGGCTGTGGGAGGGTTCCTGTCACAGGAGAATCGTTGACCCCCAACCCACCAGTCAGCTCATTGGCAGGATGGATGAGCAGGAGCATTTTCTATCATCTGGAGCTCTCCCAGGATTCCAGGAGGACTTCAGTAGTCCCAGGGGTTTGGGAGGATTCCTGCCTCAAGGGAATGGCCCTCCCTCTTCTGCCATACAGCTGATTGGCAGGATAGGAGCAGGGTCCCCACAGGGCTCCTTGATGGCTTGCCTCTGAGCAGAGGACTGTAGGGCACTACATCCAGCACCCAGAAGAAGAATACAGATATTCAAAGTACTGTGGGAAGGGAAAGATCTACCTGGTTCAATGAGGTTGAATTTTCTTGTAAACATGCTTTATGTCTTCCACAATAAAGCCCTTGATCATCTGTATACTTTCCTTTGTGTCAGGTGAAATGCTTTTCTCCTGGAAGAAATGTAACATATGAACATGGCCATTATCTAGGCTGGTAGTACTGGTATTCCTTTTGAAACTGGCCCTTCTGTTGGGCAGCCAACAGAAGGAGGTATGTCAGGCTAGGAGGAAGACAGCAAGTCAGTGTTGATGGTTCTGGCCAGGAAGGCATCACAGAGTAGAAACTATATTGTTATATTGTTACATTTGTTTTATCCAATGACTAGGAAGTGCAAGGGCCAGTGGTTCAGCTTAAAAAGGAGTGACTGAGAAAGTTCAGGATAATACTTGGCATGTATTTGGTGGTTACAGCATGGTGCTGGTAAGTTAGAGATGCAAGTTCAAACCTCCTTTGGGTGAGAGGGTGGCCTCAGGGTTGCTTATCAATAATTATTTTTTACTCATTGTCCGGAAACTTTTTACTGACATATGTTTTAAATAATGTAAAGGTAAGCACTCTGCTAGGTGCTGGACAAGGCGTGGTTTCAAATTTAGATGTATAACACCATCCTCCATAGAAAAGTTTGGTTGTCAACAAAAAGCTTTCAGGTTATCAATAAATAAATAAATAAAGTCTTGGCTTGGGAACCCTGCCTGACTGCAGCAATGATTTTCCATCAAGGTGCCCCCACCTCATGGCTTCCCTGCTTCCCACACCCTGATGTCCCTGACTGCACCTTCCACCATGCTGCCCCCACAGCCTAACCCCCACTAGCCCTACCCCGCATCTTAGCACAGAGAAGGTCTATTGTATGCTTACCTGTGATCCAGCAGTATTACAGGTAGACAAGCAGATGCAGCAAAAGCTGGGAGGGAAGGGGTTTCCAGGGCTACAGAGCCATAAGAGAATGCTTCATGCAGGGTGCTGTGTTCTCACTTAGTCACTAGGGGCACTTACAGAAGTTATCAAAGGGCACCTCAATCACTGGCACTTTATATAAAGTGCTTAAAGTTACAAAGTCATCAAAAGTAACAGACATTTGGCATTTGATGGTGGGGGCTGGGTGCCTCTGTGCACTGGCCAAGGCCAGGTGGCAGGGGGTGCTGTAGCCTGGTTGGAAACAGCCATCTGGGAGAGCTGGCTAGCATTCATTTCTTTGTGTGTGTGTGTGTGTGTGTGTGTGTGTGTGTGTGTGTGTTTGTGTGTGTGTCTGTATGCATGTGTGGGAGGAGGGGCACGGGCAGTGTGCGGGGAGCTCAGGGACTATGTCCCTTCTCTGCTAGTGTTGTCTAGCACTAGGAACATTCTCCTGCTGGGGGGGTCCCCGCTGGATCCCCTACCCCCAATTGCTGCCCAGCTTCTACCTAGCCTGTTTGGAAACAGCATACTGGGAGAGCTCTCCCCCTCTATCCCTCACTGCACAGGGAGGAGACTCTTTGCCACCTCCCTGTGGCAGACAAGGGACATGACACTTAACCCCCTCAGGGAATTCTATAGAAGTTCCCTAAGGTGCTCTAATTTAGAACGCCTTCATTTAGTACTTGATTTAATGAGGGTTATTTTTTTTGCATGATCAGCCATTTAAAAAATGCTCTGCAGCCGTGCATGTGCATTATGACTAGAGGTGCGCCGATACATTGGTCAATATCGTATCAGCACCAATAAAAGGAAAATTAACATTATCGGCAATTGGCTTTTTTTGGCTGATGTGGCTAATAATGTCACCAATAGTTTCTAGGGTCGGAAGGGACCTGAGTAGATCATCTAGTCCGACCCCCTGCCATGGCAGGAAAGATTACTGGGGTCAAACGACCCCAGCAAGGAGCTCATCTAACCTCCTCTTAAAGACCCCCAGGGTAGGAGCCAGCACCACTTCTCTTGGAAGTTGGTTCCAGATCCTAGCCGCCCTGACAGTGAGGTAGCACCTCCTGATATCTAGCCTAAATCTACCCTCTGCCAGCTTGTGACCATTATTCCTGGTCACTCCTGGCAGTGCTCAGGGGAATAGGGACTTCCCCAGTGCCTGCTGATCCCCCCTTACTAGTTTGTAACAGGCCACTAGATCCCCCTGTAACAGGCTGCTAGATCTCCCCAATAAATGCCACATGCAAGTGCGCAGCTGCAGCATGCACATGGCCAGGTGTGCAGCCAGGCATCTTGGAGAGCAGTATCTAGCCAGTCAGTCTGTAGAGGGGAAGGCGTGTGGGGGGGGCAGATCGAGGCCACATGGTGGGGGAGGGAGTGGAACTGGGGCAGGGGCAGGTGCTGCCCAGCCAGGGTGGGGCATGGGATGGAGCTGCAGCTTGTCTGGGGGTCCTGGGGGTGTGCGGCTGCTACTACTGCATGCATCCTGGGGGAGGCATGTGCCCCCCAGATCTGTGTGCAGGGCGAGGGCAGGCTGCCACTGTGGGAGGGTGCTGTGGGCTGTACTGGGCTCTTCCTGGTGGCTGTGAGGAGGGGGGCTATGAAGAGGGCTATGGTGAATTTTGGAGTTGGCTCTAGCCTCCCTGTAGCTCCCCTCCCAGGGCCACCACAGCCTCCTGCTCTGCCCCACCCCACCTGACCCAAGTGCAGCCACTGGGAAGAGCTGGATTTTATTAAAGGAAAAGAGAAACCCTAATTGAACAAATGAGCAAAACAAAACAATTTTAGAACTCTGAGGGTGCATCC